TCCTATAGTATCCTTGGGTACCAATCTGTTGCATAGTTCAACTTCTTATTTCAAAGAACCCATGTCTTCTAACCCTGCCCTGCTCCTTAATTGTTTCAGATACAAAGCAGTCATTGCCCAAACTTGTTAGATTTCAGTACCGTTCTGTCTGGGTGCTGTCCTATCTTTTCAGAAGCACATTGGTTAGAAGTGAATGGACGCTGCCTTGCTGCGGCTGCTGCTGTTAATTTAACTCCTTGATGCAGACTTCTGGCTTGTTCTTGGCTTTTCTCACTTTCGACGGTAATGTAATGTAATGCTGTAATGCCAGTATGGAGCCTGTCCAGGGTGACAGAACAGTAGCCCCCGCAGCTGGGCAGACTTGAGTGAGATGCCCACGTCTGGGTGATTGCTTCTATAGTTTTGTCAGAATGCTGTGGGTGGCCCCCTTGATGCTACTTCCTGCTGGGGGGGAGGCTGATGTTCCAAGGTCTCCACCTGAGCAGTCTGCTTTCTGCTTGCTGTCCCTGCTTGTCACTTGGAACCAGTGAGTTGCCCCCATATCCCACCACTCCCCACAGACTCCAAGTAGAATATTCCAAATCTAGCCCATAATTTCTAGTTTCTAATTAGGAGTATTGCAGACTATTTTAGTCCGGGCAACTTTCTGAAGCAGTGAAATTGTAAATTGACTCCCAGCATCTTTCAGTAGTCTGCTTCATTTACACCATGTCAAAGAGCAAACTTGAAGCTTTCTGATAATGTTTCTTTTTTGATTCATTCATTCAGTAAATATTTACTGAGTGTATATTCCATGCCCCCAGTGTCTGGACCCAGACTGCTCTCATGGGGCTGAAGTTCCAGGTGAGGACACAAACAAGCAAATGCCTAGCTGGTGGTAGGAATAAGTGCCAGAGCAAGAAGCAAAGCAAGACAGGGAACTCAGTGCAGCGGAGGGTGGCTTGGAGGGTGGCGTCAGAGGTCTCTCTGAGGAGCTGGCCTCTGAGTAGAGACCAAGAGGCAAGGATCAGCCATGCAGAGTTCCTGGACAAGCACCTGGAGAAACAACACAGCCCAGGGTTCTGCACGGCGGGCAAGAGGCTCAGTCAGGGCTACACTAGGGTGGGGGTGGGGAAGAGGGAGGAGGATGAACTCCTGAAGTTAGGAATGGGAAAACAAGATTCCCATACCTCTAAGCTAGTCCTCTTTTCCAGGGGAAAGATAGTGCCCAGCGTATATCCCCAAGGGCTGAAGTTCACAGCAGAGTTCTGCCTTCCATAGGACACAGAGTGGTGGCTCAGCACACAGAGTGCACACATCCCTGAAGAAAGTTAGACACTGTAAAAGTGTCAGAAATGAAAGGTGTTAAGAGTGATAGGGTTTGAAGCAGTTATGAAGGAAATTTGGAGGGAAGAAATGGCTAAGAGGTAAGATTAGGGAAAATAATCTTGGAAAAGACTTGAATAGCTTTGTGCTCAAACCTTGCGGGGGGGGTTCAGGGCTGGGCAGGGTGGGGGCGCTGCTCCCTGTACAGGTGTGTGTGGAAGCCAGAGGTTGTCAGGATGTCTTTCTCAATTGCTTCTCTATTTTATTTTATTTTATTTTATTTTATTTTATTTTTGAGACAGGGTCTCTTACTGAATCCGAAGCTTGACATTTTGGTTAGACTGGCTGGTCAGTGGATCCCTGGATCCTCTGGTCACCATCCCCCAGCGCTGGGGTTACAGGCATGCACCACTGCTCCCAGCTTTTACATGGGTGCTAGGGAATCTGAACTCAGGCCCTTGTGCTTGCACAGCAAGCATGTTGCCCATTGAGCCATCTCCTCAGTGCCATGTTCAAAACATGCTCAAATCTTCCAGCACTATCTTTATTATTCCTTAACAAAGTGATGGGCAGTTAGAGAAACACTCAAGATTTGACCGTTTCTCATGACTTCCACTGCTAGTAAATTGTAGTTGAAACATCAGTGTTCATTTTCTTTTTTTGTGTTTTAAAATTCATTTTATTTTTAAGAATTTAAAACATACATACAATGTGTTTTGATCAAATCCAACCTCCAACTTCTCCCCTTCAATTCCTCCCCTACCCCAACTTCTTCCCCTCCCAACTTCATGTACTTCATGGGATTTGATTTTATCTTTTTGGCTGTGAGCCTGAGCCTTTAACGACTGTGCCAGCTCCCCAGCCCTCATGTGCTTTGTTTTTAAGCCCTCTGGGTTCATTTAGTGCTATCTGTATGTGCATGAGTATAGGACCATCTACTGGAGCATGTGAGATCTCTCCTGGAACATCTCCCTGAGGAAAACTGACTGTACCCCACCAGCAGCCAGGGCCATCCTCTGCCAATAGCCCTTCATGAGCCCCTCCCCTTTTAGGCCAAAGTTTTGGTTGATTTAATCTTGCACAGGTCTTAAGCATGTAGACACAGCCACTGGGAGTTTGTGTATGCAACAGTTATGCCCAGCAAGTACTTTATTAATTCATCACACATAGAAATCCAAGTGAACACAGAGTGTGTCTTTAGGAGCTTTCCAATCTCCTTCTGGAAGAAGGCTTGAGAACATGAGATGTTTATAAAATTGGTCCCAGAACCCAAAGTGGCAATTTCCTTGATCGTTTCTCAGAAGAGGAGTCTGGGAAGAATACCGATTGGCTGTGTTAGCATGACTCACAGGTTGTGGTGTGTTTTGATATCCATGAAGCAGTCTGAACGGATAGGCTCATACCGCTGTTCATAGAGACTCAGGCCCTGGCAGACTACCTGACTTGTTCAAAGACTCATAGGTAGATGGCTAATGACAGCACCATTCCTGGAATTCTTCGTCCCTGTCTGAATGGCAGCAGGTTGTTTTGATGGGGTGTTCTGCTAAAGAAAAGCTAGTTTCCCTCCGTTTCCTTGTGTATTTCAGTTGTACCTCTCTATGGTAGCAGATATTAGCAGTGTGGCATCCACTGTCTGCCTGCTTGCCTATCCACCCAAACTCCTTGTGATGCAATAACAATACTCCAGACTGAGTAACCTACAAAGTCCAGAAATTAATTTTCTCATGGTTGTGGAGACCGGTAAACCAGCAGCTTTGGTTGTTATTGGCAGCACCACAAGTTTGGCTCCCCAAGGTGGAGCTTTGAAGCTTCGTCCTCTGCAGGGGAGAAAGGCCGTCTTTCTGGGGAGTGGGAAGAAGGCTAGCCAGAGACTACCTGCCGGACGCTCTTTCCTGAGGGCCTAGATGCTGTTCATGAGGGAGAAGCTTGATGGCCTAATCGCCTCTTTTAAAAATATTTATCTTTGTTTTTGACAATTTCGTGCATATATGCAGTGCATTGTTTTGTTTGCCCTATTGCTCTCTTAGCCGACCCCCACCTCTGAACCCCATTTTTTCAACTAGCCTCCCCTGCTTTCAGGTCTTTTTTTCCCACTGAGTTTAATTAGGGTTGCTTGTGTGAATATGGTTGTTGGGGGACCCTGCTGCTAAGGTTGTAGTCCACCATGTCCAGAAAGCTCTAAGGAGCTTGGCGCTGTATGGAGGACTCCCTTTCTCAGTGGGGGCTTCCTGCTCTCTGCCTGACCTTATCTGGAAAGTGCCTCCAGCTCAGATGCCTGGCCTTATTTGAAACATGACCTTTGGCATAGTTACCTGCGATAAAACTGCCCCCAGGTTTTTTTCTATGTGATAATTAGGCATAGCCCTATGGCCAGATGATAGGGTCCTCCTGCCACATGTAAATAAAGCATACTATGAACACCTATCAGGTAAAGCTTTGGCTGCTGTCTTCACCCTATATCTTCCCTTCAACCCCCTGAATAAACGAGCTGTCTCACTGAAACTGACTCCTGGAAGGTCTTTCCATTGTACTCATGGCTGTTCTAACCCTGTTCGTCACCTCTGCTCCCTTTGTTCTTGTGGATTGGTGGCCAACGGCCCACAAGGGAAGAGAGACCCACACATGGTAGGGGTTATCTACTCCAGAATGGACAACTTATCAGTGGCCATACCACTGAAGAAAATATTGCCCCCTTCCCTTAAAACCATTAACTGCCAGTAGCTCCTCAGGAAGGCAGGGGCCTTGTGAGCACCTTCCCTGTCCATGGTAGAATGTTGATGGGACCAGTCACTCTTCTGCAGGTCTTTATAGATGCTGTGTGTTCATGATTGAGGTGGTTGGGTCATATCTGAAGATAAAGTTTCAGAGCACTCCTCCCCACCCTTGACTCTTACCATCTGCCTCCTCTTCTGCAATGTTCCCTGTAAGCACTCCTCTTTAAGATCCATTTATTCTTATATTGTGTGTGCACAAGCATACATGTGTGTGTGGGGGGAGGGCTGTATGGGTGTATGTGCACCACATGCATACAGTGTCTGCAGAGGCAAGAAGATGGAGTTGGACTCTTTGGAACAGGAGTTATTGATGGCTGTGATTTGCCGTGTGGGTGCTGGGAACTGAAACCTGGTCCTCTGTAAGAGCAGCAGTGTTCTTAACCACTGAGCCATCTCTCCAAGACGCCCCCCCCCCTTTAAAGATAAGGTCTGTCTCTTAATACTCTCTTATTGACAACACTAAACGTTTGGAGAGACACATACAAACACAGCAACTGTGCATTTCCCTGTCTCCTGCATTCTTCAATGTTCCCGTACAGTGGTTCATTTAACAGATTTGAGCCATACTATGTAAATTACTTTAACTCTTTAGTCATAGGCATGGTCATACGTCTAGGATAACATCTCTGGGTCTAATTTATTCCCCATCTTTGTGTGCCTGTGCTGGTGGATTTATTGAAGGCTATGAATGGCTTTTAAAGAAAATTCCAATAATGAATTTAATATGAAAAATGTAATGCCAGTGTATGGTATGATTTCATCATATATTAGTGATTCACGTACTTAGAGTATATTTAGCAACAGTCTTTTGTTTTCACCACTTTGCTAAATTTTCATTTTCCTTAATCTTCTTTAGAATACAATTTAATTACAGCCTCAATTAGGGTTTATATTTTTAAGCCCGCTCATTGTTGTTTTCAGATCGTTATATCAGGGGGAAGTCAAAGCAAGTGATAACGCTAATGTACGAGCAGATGCCCTACAGAGAGAGGGAAGTGGCGAGCTGGACCAGGCAGTGTACCTCCTACTCCATGACGCTTCCCAGTAGGTTTCCTGGAGCAGAGAACTCACCCACAGCGTGTGCTTCAGCCCTCATAGTGGAAAGCCCAGCTTCAGCAGAGAAGAAACAGTTGCTCCTGAAGACCACAAGTCTTTGTAATAAAAGTTCGTACAATTAACAGTGGCCTAAAACAATCAATTAGAACAGTTAAAAAGATGAAATATCAGATTCTAGTACCAGATCATCAATACCATATTAGTAGAACTATTATATGATTAGACTTCATACTGTAGAGAACAAGATGAAAAAGAATATTCAGTAGAAATCTTTTAATATTTTTCAGAATGCATTTCTTTTGAATTCAAGTAAAATGTTTTTCAGCTTAAAAATATTAGGCTGTGATTATCCTATTTGGTATCATGGTTCAGTTTTAATATTTTCTTCATAACTGAAGGAGGCTTGCTTTCTGAGATCAGGGGTCTGGGTATATGCGCATGGCATATGTGATCCTAAAAATCAAGAAACTGAAATTTCTTAAAATATGCTAAAATTCTCGATTCAAAATTCTAACATAGGCTGAGCATGGTGGCGTATGCCTTTAATCCCACTATTTGGGAGGCAGAGGCAGGTGGATCTCCATGAGTTCCGGGCCAGTCTGATCTATGTAGCATGTTCCAGGTCAGCCAGGGCTCTGTAGTGAGACCCTGTCACAATAAAATAAAATTATAGAATAACTTAAATATTCTTCTAGGATACTACTGTATAAACCTTTCCTTTGCCTAAAACTTTAAATCTGGACTACTGAACTTTTTAAAGGGGGGGAGGGATATATTTATAATGCTATCGTAGGATCAGAATGCTCTTTTCTGCTGATTTTTATGAGACATCAAAGAACATCATCTTGCCCTAACTTTTCCAGTCCCTACTGGTGAGTCATGCATAAAGAATGGACAGTTTGGGGAAGAAAACACATTGATGAAATCTAACTTAGTTGCACCTTGAAAGAAACTAAACTTGAAGGCAGAAGTGAGGGTACTGGAGTAACACAGCCCCAAGGCTTTGCAGAGACTCGCCTCATGGTCTTCCTAGCTGAGTCTATGGTGATGGGTGAAGGTTCTTGCCTCCCCCAGTTGATATGTTGAAATCTGAGCCCCATTGTGATGGTATCTGGAGGTAGGACTCTACAATATGACAGGTAGAACACTTGTGAACGGGATTAGAGCTCCCTGAGAGACTCCAGAGAACCCTTGCTTACCTCCTGCTGCGGTGGAAGAGGGGGTTCCTTGGAACCTGACCTTGCTGGCACCCTGATCCCAGACTTCCAGGTCCAAGAACTGTTTGAAAAATCATTTCTGTTATTTCTAAGCCTCCCATTCTGTGGTGCTTTGTTAGCAGCAGCCCGAGTGCCTAAAACTATAAACAGAGACCTGGCCGTAGTGCCAAAGCAGGTGGCTGCAGTGGCCAGGTCGGGGTAGAAGAGGTGCATGTTCTTGCCCTGGAACAACCACAGCTCAGGTGACAGTTAAGTTTTAGAAAGTGAGTTCCCAAATCACTGTAGAAGTAACTCACCTTGAGCCATCCTTATGAGCCATACAAGAAATTCTAGTTTGTTACTTTATGGTCATAGATTGTGTTGTTTGTAAAATTCCAATGGTATCTCCCAGTGTGTTGACTCCTTGTTGTAATGTCACCAGGAGGAAGTGCTCAGAATAACTTTTGAAAGTTACAAATTTTATTTATTTATTTTAATTTTATGTGTATAAATGTTTTACCTCCATATAAGTAAGTGCACCTGTGAATGCAATGCCCACAGAAGCCAGAAGAGGGTGTTGTATCCCCTAGAGCTGGAGTTACAGGTATTTGTTAGCAGTCATGTGGGTTCTGGGACCCAAACCAGGGTCCTCGGGAAGAACTTCTGAGTCTTCTCTCCAGCCCCATTTTTTAAAATTCATAAAACCAAGGCATGGTGGCGTTCATCTGAGAGCCCAGCAGTCAGGAGAATTGTGAGGTTGAGGCCAGCCTGTGCCACACAGGGAGACTCTGCCTGAAAGAAAGAAAAGCCATGAAGTTTTGTTACAATGTATGTAATAGCATATACATGTGTCCAATGCCACTTACCACCTGCCAGCCACTGCCCGAGGCATGCTGAGAGAATTAGAAGTTTCTGACACCCTGAGCTGTGCTGTGCGCTTGCAAATCAGCTCTAAGACAACACATCCCACGAGAGTTCTGGTGGACGAGGCATCATGGGAGTGAGGCTGTGGGAAGTCCTGCTCAAAGCGAAAAGTCTGTGTTTAGATGCAAAAGCTGTTGGAAATTTGTTTAGAAATCTGTTAGGTTATTTTTGTTTTGTTTATCCATGCCTGAACTAGATAAATAGATGTATGTATTTGTGTTGAGAAATGAGCAACTGGATTAAGTAACTTGAGCAGTGGAAACCATTTTTCATGTTTGGGCCTAAAGCTGTGTTTTATTTATTATTATTTTCCTCTCTCTTTCTCTCTCTCTCTCTCTCTCTCTCTCTCTCTCTCTCTCTCTCTCGACAGGGTCTCCTGTAGTGGGGCTGGCCTGGAACTCACTATGTACACCAAGCTGGTCTTGAACTCACAGAGCTCCTCCTCTGCTTCCTGAGTGTTAGGATCAACGGTGTGCACCACCACACCCGGCTTATTATTTTTAAAGCTTTATTTTCAATTTTTTTTTGGTCTTTTTGAGACGGGGTCTCCCTATAGCCCCAGCTGTCCTGGAACTCATTAAGTAGACCAGGCTGGCCTTGAACTCACAGAGATCCGCCTGCCTCTGCCTCCCAAGTGCTGGGATTAAAGGTGTGCGCCACCACACCCGGCAAAATGCTCTTAACTGTGGAGCCATCTCTCTAGCTCAGAAGCTGTGGAGATTTTTTTAACTTAAATATTTTATTATTGTTATTTTTATTTGTATTAGTGTATTGCCTGCATGTATGTAAGTGCATCTGTGCCGTGCAGTGCCCACAGAGGTCAGAAGAGGGTGTCAAATCCACTGGAGCTGGAATCGTTATGTGGGTGCTGGGATTCAAACCTGAGTCTTCTGCAAGAACAGCAACAGCTAGTGCTCTTAACCACTAAGCCATCACTCTACCCCAGAAATTATGGTTTTTCTTTGTGTGTGTGTGTGTGTGTGTGTGTGTGTGTGTGTGTGTGTGTGTGTATGACAGGATCTCCTTGTAGCCCTAGCTGGCTTGGAACTCACCATGTAGACCAGGCTCACCTCAAACTCACAAAGATCCACCTGCCTCTGCCTCCCAAGTGCTGGGATTAAAGGTGTGCACCACCACACTCAGCTAGAAGCTGTGTTTTAAAGGAAGAAATAAAGCTAACATTTTGAGATAAGAATGAGAAAAGAGCAAACAAACTGGGCAGAGGAAGACGCAGCAATTGGAAGCAAAAAGATGGGCAGACAGACGGGTTGAGTCCACAGTGACAGTAAGAGCCATAAAACCTAGTGGTGAGACATAGTGGATCCCCCCTTTTTGACAGTAAGGCAGAACAAGTATTCAAGGCCTGAAGCAGCTTCCTGCAATGTCAGTGGTTCTTCTGTCTTGTGATACCAAACTCCACATTTAACTTCCACTTGATGATGCACAGCTGCCCAAGTGCCAGCATCACATTTGCCTTTTAGTTAGTAGGAAGGAAGAAGGGTTGAAAATATGAGTGCTTTTTTCTGTGACAGTCACTCATGATATGTAACATTCAGCATTTTGGCTTATGTGTTGCCTAGTGCTTAGCTACATGGACATTCCTAGTTGAAAGGGAGTTTGGGCAGCCATGGGTCCAGATGAAAGTCAAATATCCTCTTAAGAAAGAAGAGGCGAATGGAGGATACAGGGGATAACAGGTATCCTCTGCCACAGTGGGAAGGAGCACCAGCAGAAGGAGACTTAAGCATGTGGTGTCTGCTGGTACCAAATGGCATGACAACTTTGAACTGGGAGCCAGGCGTGGTGGTGGTGCATGCCTTTAATCTCAGTTCTCAGGAAGCAGAGGCAGACCCATCTCTGAGATTGAGGCCAGTTTGGTCTGCATAGTGAGTTCCAAGCCAGCTGGGGATACAGGGAGACTTAAAAAAAATTAAAATAAAAAAAAAACCCCAAACCAAATCCAAACAAACAAAACCCACTGAATCCAATATGTAGAAAAATGTGGGCTGATGCTTGAAAGTTTTCAGAGCAGTTAACAAAAAACATAATAAATGGTATTTGGAAATTTCCATTTGCTAGAACTAGCAACTAGGAAGCAGTTCAGGCCTTGAGCAGGGGCGACATTTAGCTTAGTCACAGAACTTCACCTTCTGATTACTGAAAACAGCTGTTGGTGGGAGATAATTCTTTACTGCTTTGTGTGGAAATGAAGGAGCTGGGTTGGGGAGAAACTGCAAGGAACTATTGTTTCAGTCTAGGCCCAGGACCTGTTGTAGGGTGGGAGAAGTGAGGGGACAGTCATGTTTGAGGAGAGCAAGGTATGCAGAGAAGCAATGGCTAGAGTGGGTGCTGCCTTGAAGAAAGGAAGACATTGAAAATGACTCCACATCGGAGTCAGAGGAAGAGAGGCAGGCGATGGTGTCACACAGGTATATGTCCACCTGCAGGAATGTAAAGATGTCTCTATCTCATTTAGTTTCAACGAGATGCAAAATTGGATGCATTGCTAGAAATGTGAGTCTAGGGCTGGAGAATCTAGAGGTCGAACAGCTGTGCCAGGCTGCTCAGTGGCAAATTAGCAAGGGAAAGGAGGCACTTTGCACAAGGCTTTATGCACAGCCCCATTTCTTCTTCTTTTTTAAATGCCTGTTCCTGGGCGTTTCCTCCCCAAGTTTTAATGCTGGGAGATTGCTTGGGTGGTTTTTGTTTGGATGATTTTGGTTTTGAAGGATAATTGCTGCTTGATGGCAAGACCGCAAGCTGTGAAGAGCAGCTACGCCTCGGCTTCTCAGCTCCGCGGTGAGGCGGGCCTACCAGTACTCTCCAGAAGTACTGTGGACCCCAACCAGCAGAGCCTCACCTGTGCTGCGCCCCTCTCCAATAGCCCCTAAAGGGCTCTCTATGAGTAATATTCTTTGTAGTGCAATTTTATCTCTATTCAAAGTACTAGCATTCTGTATCTCGGACGCATTTCTCTGCGAAGGATGC